TTTTTTATTTTTTTCCCTTCAAACAATCACCAAAACTTCTCCGTTTATCCGAGCCAGAAGCTGTAACAACTGTTATCATCAGATGTTCATCTTTCCGACGCTCTTTGAACACATCATGCCCAACGAACGCTTCTGTCAGAAATTGTAACCAAAACGAAACTTAAATTTGTGATATTTCAACAAAATCATTTAAAATCTCGCCCTGAATAAACCTGTTGCTTTAACTAGATTCTGTAAAAAACACTAAATTCTGAGCTACTCAATCAACTAGGAAGCCGTGATTGATTTGCCAGAGACAACCAGTCACGTGACAAAACATCTGTAAAACGTTGACTGAACTGCAGGCTGCTGAGCACAGAGCAGAGAGGAGAGGCTGTACATAGAGGTGTTAAAAATATAAATAGTTCAATGTACATAGCATGTAACACTTTTGGGCACTTGGAAAAATGCTGGATGTATGAATTCCACTGTTTTCCAATTTTTGTAAAATAAATTATCAAAGAAATTCAACTTGCGTTTCTCTTTTTTATGATTCATGGCATCATAACTGTGTTATACTGCACACAATACATTGTGGAGTTCTCTCTGCTTCTAGCCACGATTGTGCTGTTTCCATAGAGGTGCAGGACTTAAATACTGCAGTAAAACACGAGGCCACAGGGAGTAAAATATGACCGGAGCAAAAACAACAGCCCAAAAAGTGCTCGTGGTTCAGACGTGAGGTACTGTGCAGTGATGAACGAATGAGGAGGGTTAACAGCCGGGACAAGGTGAGCCGAGTAAAGACAAGAGTCTAAACCGCAGCACAGATTGTGTTACAGGAACATCTCCGAGAATAGATCTCTGACTCAGTCTCTTCCGATGCATGAAATTCAATACGTACACTGTTTGTTTCTGTGGCGGCGGTGAGAGACGGGCGTTGGCAGCACTCAAGACTCATTCTTTGACCACGAAGACGGCAACTTGGCACAAAAAACAATCTCGACTCAAGGTCCAGTTTATAGGACTTGTTTCTGAGGCTTTCAACTACTGTACACCTCACATCCTCCCTCAGAATGTCAATCAGCTTTATTGGCCAAGTATTCGTGCACTGAGAAGGAATATGACTGCGTTTCTTTTGCACTTACACAGAAATACAAATAATAGGTCGGGACGAGGACAACAAAGCCGGTCAAATAAAAGGGAAAGAACAGACAGGACTGTTGTGTGCACAGGTAGCTGTATATGTAAATATTATGCAAATGTATATCAAAAGCACCAATGAAAATAAAATGCCAGGCCAAGTGTTCTGTAAGTTGTAAACAATACAAATAGTGCAAAGAAAGAAGCACTGAATGGATGTACATGGACCGGATGATTATGTAGAATAAAGTCTTTATGCTGTAAACGCAGCGTGTAGGATTTATATCGACCCTGCAGAAAGGAATGTGCATTAAAAACGGTGCAACATTAGCCTTTAGAAGTCGTGTTTCTGGCCATCTGATGAATGCAACTCTCCTTTTAGCTGTTTTTTTTTTGTCTCCACCAACTTCTGAGAAAACTATCCATCTTTCTATCTGCTGAAATGCTCCGCTGTGTTCACCAGCTAGACGCCGTTATGCCATTTGGTGCTGGGCGGGTGGAGCACAGTGGGATTATTGGAGCTTTTGCTCTTTTTTTGATATTTGGCTGAAAGTAATTCCCACATCTCAAAAAGACTGCAAATATGATTGTGACCACTAAGTGGTGCCGACGACAAAATGTCTAATGAGACGTGACAGTCCGTCTGCAACGCGTTTTCATGTCCATATGGGAATCTCATAATGAATCACTCTGATATCAATCAATGGCTGCGGTCCAAAAGTCCCAAAATGACCTCCTAACATCTATTCCTAACCACTTCTCCTTCACCTCTATGGAAAACGTCAAGGGATCAAGGAAAGAAGTCTCTTAAACTCGTGTTTTAAGGCTCAATATTGTGTCTTTGCAGTTTATTGGAACGTGTGGTTTCCCTGATTTATACTGAGTGTGCGTTCTGCGTGGCCACCTCTCACGCACGCCAGGCATATGTAATGTAATGTGATGTAATGCAAATCTTTTGTCAGGCAGTCTTTGATTCATTTGATTCGCTTGCCAAGTCACAAGCCAAGAACAATTCTATACTGCAGTTGAATATTGGGGCTGAATATCTCCACGTTTGGTTATGAATATTATATATTATATGAATATTAGTTGCCTTTATTAAAAGGTTAATGGGGATACCATGTAAATTCAATTAGCCAGGAGGAAGAGTTGATGTGTGATTCTCCAATTACTTCAGAAGAAGTTAAAAGATGCCATAAATCATCCCAAAAATGAATAAAATTCACTTTGAAATGATGAAATCACCTCTGATTTTTATATAAGATTGTTTATGAGTTACTAGCACCTGAGATATCGCGTTCACGAGAATGGGATGGAGGTGAGGTGAGGTCTCTTTCTCTATCTCTCATAAATTAGTTTAACCTCCCCCTCCACCACCACCACCACCACCCTGTCACAAACACAGCAGAGCACCAGCTCCGTACACTCCCATTGGCTGGCAGTGACATCACTTGTGCAAAGTGTTGAGTCAGACTCCTGATCTCTCCCTCCCTCCCTCCCTCTCTCAGCTGCTGCACCCTTGTGTCTGAGCAGAGACTTGCAGTCATTTCAAAAAAACACAAAACAAAAGCTGTGTTTTTACTTATCAGCTGTTCCGAACACACTCTTTCACATGTTCAACATCTGCAGAGGAGCTGAAACACACTGACCCCAGATCAAAGTGACTTTCACCTTCTCCAAGTCATCTGATCCCAAACGTGGCGTGTTGAGTCGGACTGTAAGCCTTCCTGATTATTAAAGCTAACAGGATCATGTTCAGACACTGATGGTTACTTACTGCAGGGTGTAATCTGCCCTCTGCTGCTCTCAGGTTACCACAGCTCCACCACCACAATCTCATGTACAGCTCGATGTTGATATGAAGCTTTATGGCTCATTTTATTGTTTCATTGTGTTTGCAAATCACGGACGGGAAAGTGCGATAAAATCAGCAGCACATTTGGATCTTTGACCTCAGCCGAAGAGGCAGAAACTGTCCTCTCTGTTAGTTCATGTCTAACTAACACCGAGTCTGTTTCCTACCTTGCGGCTGGTGTAGTGGACGTGTTTGGACAGCTTCACATTGAGTCCTTGGAGGAAAACCTCATCGGTGACTTTGCCCACATTCATGCAGGCTTCGTCCAGCACGGAGAAGATGCCCTTATGCTGCTGCTCCACCAAATCCACGATGATCTGGTTGTTGAAGTAATCGATCTGACGACAGAGGAGAGAAAGACGCCGAGTCGAGATGACAGAAATACAAGAGGAGATAGAAAACAGTAGAATAAGCAACAGAGTAACACATATAAACAACAGTGTAATGAATATAATGTGTATAATAAGTCATACTGACACCAGAGCAAAATAGAATAACAATTAAAAAAAGAAAAATGTAGTTAAGTAATCATTAATCTTTGTGAATCTAGAAAGTCAAAGTTACATTTGTTCTGTGCACTATTTGGACAGATTGAGAGACGTCCAGCATCCTTTAGAATAATCAAAGGAGACATTAGAAGTGAGAACAGATACCCTGGAACACGAAACAGACCCAGGACATCCTCCTTACATGTTTCCAGGGGATTCCTTCTCGCTGATACTCCTCCTGCTCCTGCTTCAGCACCAGCTGGATGAAGAGCTGCTGCAGCTTTTCATTACAGTAGTTGATGCAGAACTGCTCAAAGCTGCAGAAACAGAGACTGAATGTTATCGATGCAGCTGTGTTTTACTCATTCTGTACAGGGAGAGGTAATCATCGCTGTGTGTTACAACCAATAAAATCATCTGTTGATGTTCTTATCTTCTAAGATTCACAACTTTAATAAATCGATTTTTAAAACTGTTTTCTTTCTTCTATCAACGTTTTTTTAAATTTGTTTTGAGAAATTGAGATAAATTGAGAAATAATAAAAACTGTTTTTTGTGCAAGTTTAGCATAAATTAATGTGACATTGTGTGTTTACATTATTGCAATCAGTTGATTGACTTTTTCAAATATTAAAAGTCTTTCCAACTCAAAGACATTTGACCTGCGGACAGGAGGCACCGGGGATTGAATTGTCTAATGGACGACCCTCTCTTTCTCCTGAGACGCAGTTTTTACTGCATAATCCAGAATCAAAATCGAACGGAGTCGCGAGATACCGAAAGATTTACACCCCAAATAGACACAAAAGCTAAACGTTTCATATAAAGATGCAGATGTTGTGATGCTTTTACAATTGGAGGAATATTCTGTCTCCTTCTCCAGGTCGCACCTTAAAAGACATCCTGGATCTCAACAGGTCTTATCTGGTTAAATACAAAATCCACACCTGTTGTTCTGGAAGATCTCAAAACCATAGATGTCCAGCACCCCGATGACGGTGTTCTTCCCGTGGACTCTGGCGTCATAGTTTTTCACCTCGATGATGTCATTGATTCGTCCCACAATCCAGCAGAACAGCCGCTCGTACATGGCCTGCAGACGACAAACAGTGAGTGTGCGTTAAAGTGTGGCAGACGGATGGCCGGCCTTGCTCAAGGGCCCAGAGCAGTCTGGAGCAGAGATGGGCCTCAGACTTTAGGTCACAGCCCACAGTGCAGCTTCCTCCGCAGTTTCCTCTGTCTGGAGTCACAACACTGTGACTCATGCTTGTGTGAATCAGTGTGAATCGCAGTAAAAAACCACGACCGAGCACGAAGTGAAAGGTCACAACCCTCCAGGCAACAGCAGGCCAATGTTCTTGTTTCTTTCTTTTTTTTGTGCAGCCCACTACACAGACAGAGAACCAGCAACATGTCATCTAACATCCTCCCGACAATAACCTTAGCGAGAGCGTCCCGTCCGTAGCCGGCCTCTTGCGCCGTGTGCTGCTTCTCGATGACGTCCCGGCCCGTGGCCACGGTGCGGTACAGCAGCGCCTTCTCCATGTTCTCCTCTTTGACGGCCAGCAGCTCCCGGATCACGGACACCAGCTTTGTGCTCTCTATCAACGTCACATCGCCGTCCACCCCGAAGGTCAGGTTACCCTGGAAGAGAAGCCAGAGAGGGCGGATTATGAAATATGATAAAATGAGATCGGACTTTATTAATCAAGAAGGAAGTTTTTGTGCCAGTTTAATTACAACAGAAGAATAGCAAAAAACAATAGAATAAAAATACTAGCATGTATGAACAATAGAATAACAATTAAGTGTACATAAATAATACTGACACCATTGCATAATAGAACACAACAGCAATAAGACGAAGGTAAATAAATAATGTAAATTCAAAAATCAACTAAAATAGAAAATGTTAAATTTCTTATCTACGGTTCCTTAGATAAGTTATCGCCATAAACTGCACATCTTTTAAATCAGACTTCCACACAGAGGAAAAGATTAGTGTTTGGCGTGACGACCTTTAGAAAAGTCAAAATGTTATGTACTAATGAAATAAATCCACATGTTTACAGATTAAAATGTGTAAATACGGTAAACATTCTTTAACTTTAGACAGAACCGTGCAAGCTCAAGAAAGACAACAAGCACTCAAAATAGGAAGGATTATGGTACCAATAACAGGGGCAGTAAATCAGTAACATACCAATTAGTTATTTTAGATCTCTTTTATATAGTTAACAGCAGTTGAGCTGCAAAAATGAGATTTCTTTCCCCACAGGCAAACAAAAACAAACAACAATAAAGAAATGAATCTGAAAACAGTCATCTAACAGAACTAACCCGACTAAAATAACAGATTTAAAACGTCTCTATTTTCCCTATAATGAATAACAAATTACATAATTCTTCAACATAAAACGTCCTCAGTTATAGACCTGTAAAATAAACCGTCACTGACAGATTAATTGTGAGCTTCTTCTGCATTGGACTCATTCTCCAGCAGCGAAAAGAAACAAAAAAGCAAACAATCATTTTCAAATCCGTACGCTCGCCGTCTTGGCAAGGACACTGCTCCACTCTGCCAAGACGGCGCTCATTTGTCTAAAACCTATACACAGTATCTCCCATATTGGGACACAGCTGGTGTGAGGGAGGAGCAGGGATTTGGGTGTTATCGGGTATTACCAGATGTAGGATGGTGGCCAGGATCTTGTAAACAGTCTGAATCTCGTCCCCAGTGAAGCCGATCACTTTCATGGCGTCGGCTACGGCTTTGAAATCAGCGCCATCATTGATGGAAGACTGGAGAGAGAAAGGAGGAACCGGGTCATCATCATTACAATGTTTCGTTAGCTTTCAAAGCAAGATCTTTCAACAGTTTGTCTTTCAGGAAAAATTTAGATTTATGTGTATTTAAATTTGGAAAAACTACATTTTACACGAGTGTTTTGAGCCGGGGTCACAGCCTTTTCTCTTCTCTTACAGCTGATCTGGGATATCAGATTCCCACAGTTAATTCAATTACAAGCTGGTGCTGAACTGCGATGGTTTCTCTGAGTCCCACAGCGCACAAACCGCCGCCTCAGCTGTTTGGTCGCATTGTGTTCCATGACATCAGTTTGTTGCCATCAAGTGGTTTATTTGCTCCTGCTCATTAAGCTCATGCAAAGACGGCGGCGCACAGCAGAGGTCGAAATGAAAAACACGATCTGAAAACGATCTCCTCGTGAGACACTTTACACTCGTTATTCGTGTGGTTTGCTTCAGAGACGCGTAAACTGGCGGCGAGGAAACGCACATCTGTAAGTCGTGTGCTTGATTGTATTTATCCCTCTGCAAACAAACGAGAAGTTGCTCTCCCAGATGTTTATTTGGGGGTTTTCTTCCTCGGCTACTCCTATTTGTTCGTCTGTGAGTTGAATTGTAAGAAGCACCTTGATTTGGCCTCCGACTTTGATGTAGTTGTAAGCAGTCGGGTCCTTCTGGATGTGAAGAGAGCGTAACAGGGAGTCTGGAGCTCCTCTGAGCAGCTGGAATCAAAAACATCACACGTTACTGACAACACCAGCACATTTCTTGTGATTTCTGTTAAATTACTCTCACATAATGTACACAGCCTTGTTCATGTTTGAATTGAATGCGTCTTTACTTCCTGTACAAACGGTGACCTCACTACACTCCTGCATGCAGGAACAAAAGGCCTCTTGATGACTCAGAAATTCTGCATGGATTCGTATTTCCTGCTGCCGAGTTCAGTCTTTCACATGCTCGAACTAAAATAAATGACTGCAAACGCACACACACACTGTACACACACACACACACACACACAAACACACACACACACACACACACACACCTGGTAGTATGAATGAAAGCTCCGCTCTCCTTCCTGTTGGAAAATAACTCTGGACTGTTGGAGGAAAAGCAAAGACAGCGTAACATAAGAGTCGTCTTAAAGCAACAACAAAGTCCAAAAACATTGGAAAATAGAGTCCAGGTTGAAAAATGCAGAAGTTCGCTTTAAGATACAAACTCTGATGTACATTTTAAACAAACTACAGCAGGTAAAATGGTATCTGCACGTGCAATACAGACGTTATTGTACTGAATCACCGACTTCTCCATCACCAGGTACGACTACCCTTCGCTTCCTCTGAGGCTAGCTGACGCTCCGTTACCTTCTCCAGCAGGTAGTTGCTGATGTGGCCTCCGATGGGATCCCCCTTGAAGTCAAAGTTGATGTCCATGTACTTGCCGAAGCGACTGGAGTTGTCGTTGCGGTTGGTCTTGGCGTTCCCGAAGGCCTCCAGGACACAGTTGGATTTAAGCAGCATGTTTTTCACCCTGAGGGAAGACGGGACCACATTACAGGTGAAGAGGTGAACCAGGTTAAAAGAGTGGCCGTGGGATCAAATGTAATGATGTTTAATGATTATTTAGTGGGTCTACATCTTGTACACAGTAGATTCTACATGTTCAAATGTACCTGCAGCAGTTTGTATTTAAAGTTGACCGAAAAACCTTTTCCCTGCACGGGTCTCATCTTCATCTCTGAGCTACATTTTGTTTACTTCAAAGCAAAGCTTTTCTTGTGCTTTGCTCTTAATATCTATCGATGTCATCACACCTGAATCGGACCATTCAGTAATATATCTCCTTCGGGGGTTTGGGGGACAGTCCCCACCCACTCAGGCCTCAGTGATGTGCTCTACATCCTAGTTGAGCTGGGACTGTATCTCACTCTGATCTCAGAGACTTTGACTACCGGCAGGATTAATCCCTGAAATATGACAATGACTTACTTCTAACTACAACAGCTGCGATAAGATAATAAAGCTGACCTAGAAAATAATCAAGAATGAGCCATGCAGGTCTTGTGGCTACGTTTCTTGTGTGTGGAAACTTTTCACCTCACATCAGAATATGCCGTGTATCTGGGCTCATTTAGAGAAACAAAACACATCTCTGTTGAAGGTATGACTGGGTTTTTGTGATAACATTTCTAGTTTGTGCATTAGGAGAAACGATGCATTAGCAAACAGGAATCCACAGATCCTCCTTCTCTGATAATATTCTGCAGTTTTTAGTCACCGAACCAGAGTTTGAGCAGCAGCTCACCTTTCGACCTCGGCCCTCTGATTGGGATTGGTGATAGCAGCGATGTATTGCATTATGTACTTGCTGGCTTCTGTCTTTCCTGCTCCACTTTCCCCTGCAATAAAAAACACGGTGCAAAGAGTTTTTAAATTTCCGACAGGCCTTGAACTAATCATGTGTGACAAACGCTTCCTTTGATCTTAAAACGATGACATCTCATCAAAATCACTTAAAAAAACACAAAAAAAAAAACGTTTGCAGTAACCAGATCCTGTAAAAACATTACATTGTGAGCTCCTCGAGGTAACGGGGAAGCCATGATTGACTCGGCTGAGACCGACAGTCACGTCACAGAAACTCTTAAACGTCAACTGAAGTGCAGACGGCTGCTCACAGAGCAGAGGAAGTGGTAAGTAGGTTGGAAAATTGTAAATAGTTCAATATGTACTGAATTTGGAGCCCTCATTTTTCAATATTTGTAACATGTGGACATTTTGAAAAAATGTCGGAGGGAAAGATTCATCTTTTTGCAATTTTTGTAAAATAAATAATCAAACAATTAAACTTGCGTATTTATCTTTTTCATGATTTAAGGTATTATAACCGTGTTACTCTGCACAGAAGACATATGTGAGTTCTCTCTACTTTTAACCACGATTGTTCTGTTTCCATTGCGGTGCAGCATTTAAATAACACCCTTTAAACGCCCTGAAACTGTTTGGGGTGCAGAGGGATAAGACCCTAACCAAAGACTCATTTGGGGTCTTTTAAAGGGGGATCAGTTCCCCCTCTGACCACTAGGTGGTGCTTCGTCCTCTGCATGGTTTCTCCACGCTGCCACACAGCTTGTGGCCACATACAATATGAGTTTTAGGAGAAAATAAGGTGGATTTCTTTCATCAACTTGGCAGACGTTGAATCAATTAAGAAGTCTCTCCTCCTGAACATCTTTCAGGAGAGGAAACACCCGAGCTTAACAGGAAATATAGGACTATTACAGCAGGACTGTATATTATAATATAAGGAAATAGCACAAAAAGTGGTCAGAAAAAATAGGATTCCAAACTATTCTTCTTTTGAACTGTACGAGGGAGTAAAACATGTCTGTGCTCTTTGTGCGGCCCATGCGGGGGGCTTTCCCGTGTTACCTGAGATGACGATACACGTGTCTTTGTTCCTCCTCTTCATGGCTTTGTAGGCAGCGTCAGCGATGGCGAACAGGTGGGGCGGCCTCTCGTACAGCTCGCGGCCCTTGTACTGCTCCACGACGTCGCGGCCGTAGATGTTCATGGCGCGGTAAGGATTGACGGACACGACCACCTCTCCGATGTACGTGTAGATCCTCCCCTTCTCGAACCTGAGGACACAACGTGGACATTTAGGAATACAGTCAAATATCAGATTTACTTTTATTTGTATTTTTATCATTCGTTACCACACTGACTGCAGAAATACCATCATGCTTAAGGCGTGTAACTGTTGTAGTTTCTGTGTTCAAGCAGGTAAAAAAAGGTATTTATTTATAAGCATTTCTATAGAACAAACAACCCTGTTCAGGTTCAGTTCAATGTCTTGAATATTTATGCTTTTATACAATCGTGTACATACGATCACCCAAACCCAGTGATGGTTCCATCTGGCGAAATTGACCAAATTTCTAATAAATAGGTGAGAATAAACAGTTTCAGCAGACCTCTTGTTTTTATTAACACTCTTTATTGAATTTCACTTGATAACAAGCCAAACATCACAAATGACTTTATCAGATATCCACATTGCTGAAATGCAAACAAGCCGATACAAAGAACTCAAGTTTCCCAACAGTCCAAGGGCATTGTGTTCCACACCGTCACCTCTCTCAACAAGGAAGTCACTATGTTGGACGCCAACAATGATTCCCTCCCTGTCCGCATGCTGTTGTGTTCATGATATTTAGGACAATAGTGAGCTTCCTACTGTGTGTGAACAGTTTGTGTTTGTCTCTTCCCTGTTTCAACATAAAGTCAGCTCCATAAAGAAATGGTTTTCCCAGTTTGGTGTAGAAGAAGCTCGACTGGTCTGCTCAGAGCTCTGATCCAACACCGTCTGAACTGGACTGAGCCAGACCTGATCCCCCCGAACGGGAACTAATCCCCGCAGCAGGTTTACACATCTGGTGGAGAGAATGAAACCAGAGTGGAGGATGTCGGAGGTGCAGATTAATAATGCTCATTGTTTGGGAATGAGATCATCAATCACAGCTGTCTGCATGTGTGCAGGTTGGTTTATGTGTAAAATGATTATGTAAAGTAGGGCTGTGGGCAATATATCAATATTATATGGTCTTAGATTGTGGATATAAATGTTGTCTCTTCCTGGTTGTAAAGGCTGCATTGAAGAGAGGAGGTGTGGTCTGGTCTCTAAGATGGATCGCAATGCGGAGGTGAACGATTCTGCATCGACGGAACATAATTGTGAGTTTGGTTTCAGTTCAGCTCAGTGTGAGTCCGTCGTGCTTGTTGAGATGCCATTTAAACGCATGCAGAGGAGTTTAGGTATGTTTATGTACGGAGGTTTGAAAATGTTTGTGTCTTTATTCACTTTGTCCTTTTAAATCACTCTGTATTCTCTAATAAACGTCATTAACACTATTACATGGTGTCCACATATTCTCTCTCAGGCCTCATTGAGCGACTCTCCCGCTGCTGAGTTTGACGAGCATTTCTTCTGGTGCCGTTAGGAGCCGGCCACGTTGAGTTGTGGTAGGCAGTAGAAGTGGCAGCATTTGGACCAGAGTTCTCTCGTTCTCTCTCTCTCTCTCCTTCCCCCCCCCAGCGTCTCTCACAGAAGAATGGCCTCTTTCTTCACAGTTGCCAAACCTTCGGCAGCCGCCTCGCAAACAAGGCCAGCAGCGCATTACTTCCAAACGGTCCTAACGGGCCCACGAGAAGCATCTGTGATTGTGGGTTTGAAGCCACTGCCAGATGAAATAAATCAAGCTCGTATTTGTTTAAAGACTTGCCAGATATTGAGATGTCATATCTTTAAATAAAAATGCTGACTTGCTGGTAGAACTACAAATAAAGCACAGAAGAAGAGTGATGGTGTTACATTGAGGTTGAGGCTGTTAACGGACGACCGTGACACTCTTCTTGTTTATCAGTGTTTGCTAAACCTTGACTATATACTCCATCTTATCTCCTCTAAACCTTTAAGTGATTCTTGTTAAAACATCGGAGTACATGTTAAATAAAATGCAGAAATATTGCTGACATTTTAACACATGACACATAACACATGAATGATGAATGACAAACAAAACAGGGAACAAGAGAGTAGAGAAATGTAGAAGAAAGTAGAGCTTTCATAGAGTTATAGAAAGAGAAAGATTTAATTGAAATTGAGTACATTCAGAAGTGAAATAGGGAGAGTATAGGCAGCCTGACAACACAACGCTGTTGTGATAAGCCAAGGCTTCAGCACCTTTGGTTTGTCACTACTTACAAAATCAAAGTAATCAAACAACAGTGAGGCCCAACAAAGCAAGACAAACTAAGGTAAGAGTTAAACCCTTGTTCTACGGTGTACTCGTAGCTAGAAACAACAACGCGTTACACACATCACTTATCACAGCAGCACAGGCTCTGATTGGCTCATCTTGTGTGCCAGTGTTCATACTGTATGTCAGCTGTGGACACAAACTGGCACTGCTGTCTGACGATGACATGAGACGTTCATGTGTGCTGGACACGGTGGGACCAGAGCATGAAGATGGATCACAAGAGGCTTCAGTGTTCATGTGCTATTACGCATCTGTGTTTTAGAAATTTGAACTTTTCTTCCATACTATTTCAGGCAGTTGGTTTACAGACAGAGAACTCCGATGTTCACTGTGAGCGATTACACCGCTCCAGCAAGTCGCAAGTTAAAGGAAAATTTGGAAACAAATCTAAAAAATGTAATCTCTGTAGCATGCATCCAAAGATTCTCCAAAAAAAAGGAAAAGTATGCATAATTTGAGAGCTAAAACTTGCAAACAGTTACAGGTTTGCAAGTGCAAACATTGTCCAAGAATGTACTATAAAAAAGTGTATGAATTATTTTTGAGGCTACATGTTAAAAAAAGAAAACCCACTTTAAAGTAGAGAAAAAATATCTAAAAAACTACCATCCGTCAGTGTCACATGTGCATACTGAGCAGGTCTAGTGGGATTCCTATGACCAGCTAAGCTAACATGCTAGCTCTTCCTCCACTAGCTCTGCAGAAAAAGACCCATTGTGCCCCCCCCCCCCCCCCCCTCATATCAGTCAGGAGGCTGCTGTGTGCCTGCTCCATTGTTCAGATGTCAATCGGAGGTCTTTGTCTGACACACACACACACACACACACACACACACACACACACACACACACAGCGAGGTGCCCACTTGTAGACACACATGTAGAGAAGCTTCTGCGGGAGGGTGAACAATGGTTGACATGATGGGAGGGTTTTATCTCAAGTCCCAGCTGGGTATGCATCGGAGAAGGAGACAGGGTCTGCTATGCAGGTATTTTACATAAACACAAAGACGGTGTTATAGGGAACCAACATGAACAAAACATGGGTCATCAACTCCTGATAATATTTGTTACAATGGAATTTAAATATTCACTAATAAATGGAGCATTTGCATAATAATGATTGTTGTCGCCTGTCTCTCCCTTCCCGTTATAAACTCTCTGACAAAGTAGATATACCAATATAAAGCAAAAGGTTTGTGTTTACATTTTGCGCTCACTGAGGAAACTTCTTGACTTTTAGTCAATGTTAATTGACTCTTAACTAAGCCCCGCCTCCCGCTGTCAGAGCTACGTTACCATGGAGCCCACACTGTCACTAAATGCACTCACTGAAGAAATATCCATTTCAAAGAGAAGTAGGCAGAAGTTTGACTTTCCCCAACTCAACCACAGAGATATCAGTTATTGGGAGATTAATATTGTTGGAATCTCCATTTGTATGACATGGCGTTTCAGATAAAATAATTACCTCATTCAAGCTTACGTCAAGAGAATATTTGAATAAATATGACCATTGGGAGTGTGTCATTGTGGGTTTTAATTTCCCCACACTGGACAAACAAACCGCCATCAACCCGTCCGACACCACGTCGATTCTCTGCAACGCTGCAGAGTGTGAAACAGAGAAAAGCCCCCCCCCCCCCCCCACCTCTGGGTTTATAAATAGCACGATTCATGTTTGTGTCTATCGGCCTTCCATGAGGAGAGGAGAGGAGAAAAAAAAATCAATCAGTCGAAGCGTGTCGACTGAGATACTGATCCATCTGTTCCACTCATTTAGGAGGATTTAAATGGACACAGGACAGAGATTAGAGAACCTCACGGGTCATGGCAGTCTCCCAAAAATACTATGGATAGTTACATGGAATCACATCTAAATTTGGTAACTCTGTCATCCGTCTGTTTACGAATTTTCAGACTGAATTGGGCCGTTTGAAGATGCAACAACAGAGCGACTCCCTCTGCATCATCCGTCAGCCCAGCTGTGAGGGGAAATGAGTCTGAACTGGTCTGACCTGCAGCCGTGTGATCTCTTCCCAAAAAGGACCCCTCCCAAGAGCTGCCAGGAAATGAGGGGGAGACAGAGAGACAGACAGACAGAGCCGGTGTGACGAGAGAAAGGGAGGAACACTTTTGTAAAAGTCAGTCAGTCTCTCTCTCTCTCAACAAACTATATATAGTTTGTTTCCATTTCTTTTTTAAATATATACTGTTTTTTTCCTCTCTTCTCCATCTAATTAATAATCTTTTTTGTGTACATATGTATATGTAGGAATGTGTATACTGTACATATAAGTATGTATGTGTATATATATTTAGATATATACTTACTATAGTTATTGTTGCTATTATTTGTATCATATGCCTTGTTGTTGGAGGTCTTATGTAATGGACTGTCTTACGTAAGAACAAAGGGGGAAATGTGGCCAATGTTTTTCACTCTACCAAGGAACTCTGTCTGCTTTAAAAATACCAGAGGAACCCTAATGCCAAACAAACACACACACACACACACTGATGCATGCATGTACACACCCACGCAAACACACTCCCTTCAGATGTGAATTACAGAGCACAGCCAAGCACAACCGCCGTCTCCAATCTTGTTTGGGTGGGTCTTTTTTATGGTTAACTTTGGGAGGAACGCGAGCGATTTATGACATTTTCTCACCAACAATCTGCCCCAACCGAAAAAAATAAACTTCTGGGATGAATCAAGAGGTAAATGTGACTAAAATAACGATGTGAGAACGCCACCCTCAACATCTCTAACACCTCAGACACACTGCTGTAATTATGACATTGTATTTCATT